AGTCTATCTATTACTGCTTCTGGTCCTCACTCCATTTTACAGTTAAGAACATTAAGCTGGGGAGGTTAAAGGACTTGCCTAAGACTTTGCCTACCATCCAGTGCCAAATTTAGACTTTCCAACACAATTATCAAGACACTTTATATTCTTATAGACAGTAAGTATGGGTGCTGGGAACTGAACCTGGGTCTTCTGGAAGAACAGCAAGTGCTCTTAACTATGGAGCCATCTCTCCAGCCCCACTCTACATTTAAATTTAAATTTTATTTTATGCATGTGAGTATTTTGCCTGCATGTGTATCTGTGCACCACATGTATGCCTGGTGCCTGCACATGACAGAAGATGGCCTGAGCTGCCATGTGGGTGATGGGGAATCAAATCTAGATCTTCTAGAAGAGAGGCCAGTCCTCTTAACCACTTATCTCTCCAGCCCCACCACTCTACCTACATTCTTTCAGACAGGGTCTCATTATGTAGTCCTGGCTGGCCTGGAACTTACTATGGAGACCAGCATGATGTCAACTACATTCTTATATGCTACCTCATTAACATGAAGCTTTATGAGATGAAATGCACAGTCTTTGTTTGCCCTCAAACTCACTGCTGTAACTTTTGTGCCCTCTGAATGAAATATAGAGCAAACTCATCATTCATCCATCCATTCATGCAGCTAACAATTCCGTGACAATTACATGTCATATGTGTTGCTACCAAGTGGAAGTTCACAAAGAAGAGTGGTACCAAGCTGAGGCTTTGGAGTTTAGCAGAAGAGCTAAAAGGTACATGTTAAATGATAAGAATCCTTAATAAGGACTCCATCAAAATCACTCGAGATGTGCTATTTTCCCTAAAAAAAAAAAAAAAAAAAAAAAAAAAAAAAAAAAAAAAACAGCACCTCTGTGCTGGCTGTTTTTATGTTAATTTAACAAAAGCTAGAGTCATCTAATCAGAGAGACCCTAAATTGAGAAAATGCCTCCATACAGGCTGTGAGCAAGTCTGTAGAGCATTTTCTTAATTAGTGATGAACGTGGGTGGGCCCAAGTGGGCCCAGCCCATTGTGGAAGGTACCAACCTGAGGTCCTGGGTCCTATAAGAGAGCAGGCAGACCCCAGGTGGTGGTGGCGTACACCTTTGATAGATCAAGCTCTGCCTTTAACAGATCAAGCTCCATCTTTAATAGAGCAAACTCCATGGCCTCTGTTTCAGTTCCCGCCTCCAAGTTTCTGCCTTGACTTCTTTTGATGATGAACTGTGATATGGAAGTGTAAGCAAAATAAACCCTTTTCTCCTCAAGTTGCTTTTGGTCATGGTGCTTCATCAGAGCAAAAGAAACCCTAACTAAGACAACCTTTTCCCAAGATATCTGACTCCCAGGCCCTCCTCAGTGACATTTTCCTTACTCTAAGATGATACTTTTTGTTAGACAGTTTCAGAAACCCAGTTCTAAAAGGGGAGAACTCTGCTAAAAGCAAGCAGCAACATCAGCACCACACAGCTTTTGAGAGGGATGGAAAATAATCCATTCTTCAGAATGTATAACCTTCAGGCACTGCAGAGACGTCAGATATATTGGAGTGGTGGTCAGATGAGGTGGCCCATGCTTATAATCTCAGCACCTGGAAGACTGAGGCAGGAGAATCACCACAAGTTAGGAGGCCAGTTTGGGACACACAGTGAATTCAAAGCCAGCCTAGGCTAGACAGAGAGATCCTGTGCCATAAAAAAGAAAATGAAACTAAAACTAACTGGGATGAGGACAACTCTGTTGAGATCTCAGATCAGTCCTCACTCTGGGATATAAATGATCATTTAGGAAACAAGTACACACCTAGTTTTGAAAAACATTCCTCAGTTTGAGATGTCTAGGGTGATACAGTGGTGCTTCGAGACTAAGGCAGATTTGCAATACTTAATTAGGAAATTAAAGCTTAAAGGTGGCAAGACCACATCCTCAACTCTTTGGTTTGCTTGCCCTGGCTCACCCCTGAGGAATGGGACAGTGGGAGAATATAAGACTTAACTATCCTCGCAGCAATCATCAATGAACTGATCCCCATTCTTGTGTTCAGTTCTTAGGCTTTAGAGAACTGTAGGCATTTTGGAATCCACCATCTGTCTTATGTGCTCCTTTTTTTCCCCCAAGACAGGGTTTCTCTATGTAGCCCTGGCTATCTTGGAACTCGCTGGTCTTGAACTCAGAGATCAGTCTGCCTCTGCCTCCCAAGCACTGGGATTAAAGGCATGCACTACCATGCCTGGCTTATGTGCTCCTTTTTAAGGCCCCACGCCCATAGTTTCTTAGGACAAAACCCAGGCCTTGGGCATGCCAGGCAAGCATTCTACAAGCTATATTCCAGCTCCTATACTCCTTTTTAACTCTAAAAATTCCAGGCCAAGGTGTACAGAGATATCAAAAAGACACTAGTCTTCATTATGAAAATCTTCATTACAAATCTGGGCATGCTCCCAGCAAAGGGCTTGTTCCTGTGGCACGTACTTGTTCACATGGGAGCTGTCTGCGAGGCGCCTTGGCATGTCTGAGCCTGTCTACACTGATGCTTAGGCTGCTGATGGACCACATGGAGACAGATGAGACTCGCATTCCAAGAATGTCTACGCCACACTCAGAAGGCTGCAGTGGGAAGAAATAAGTAGGTTGAGTGGAACTTGGGACACACATTAACCAGCTGTAAAATCCAAGAGTCTAAATGGTGTTTAAGTCCCAAGGCTAGTGCTCGCGAGACCTGGCCCCAAATACAGGACCAAAGACATGAATGATCTTTTAGGTCCAGGAGGACAGAGAAGGCTGAGCAGATGGCTTCTTTTTCTGGGGACTGCACTGGTCCTGGTCTTTGGTACCTCATAATCTCCCTATTTTCTCAACCTCCCCTATCTTCTAAGATTTATTTAAAAAGGTCTCATTTTTTGCCAGGCATTCAGGATACTGAGATAAAGGTTTCAGCCTAAGGGTGACAATGACAAACCAACAAGGTGGCCCAGTCTGCTTGGCACTGACAGGTGTGCAGAGTGTGTGAGGGCAGAGGAGGATTCAGACACAGCACAACAGACAGGCAGACAATTCACTGTGCCAAATTCAGTGTAGAAGGAGCCCAGGGAATGGTAAGGAAGGCAGCAAGATCTAGGAAGAAGTAGGGAGTAAGTCCTTAGATTCCCCAGAGCCCTTCAGCCTTGGTCTGCTTGCTCATATTCCAAATTGGGGTCCATAACCTGACATCCCCACCCAAGCTTCCAAAATGCCCCATGATTTTAATGATTCTCTTCCTATCCAGCTCACTCCCACTCCCTAGCTAAGTAGACTGGTACATCCAAATGGTAGGTTTGGATGTACATAGATTATACTATGTGATGCAACACTATCCATTATATTATCTTATTTTATTTTGTCTTGTTTGAGACAGGGGTCACCCTGGCTAACCTGGAACTTGAACTTGCAGTGATGCTTCTGTCCTTGCCTCTTGAGTACTAGGATTATAAGCATGTGCCACCAGAGCCAGCCTATCACACTTTTGAGGTGAGGGATATCTGGGAGAAATATCTCAATTGATAGAGTATTTGCTTCACAAATATAAGGACTTTAGTTTAATCCCTAGAAACCACATAAAAATGCTGGGCATCGTGGTACCACACACATGTAATCCCTGTCCCAAGAAAATCAAAGTAGAAGGATCCCTGAGGCTCTCTGGCCAGTTAGTCTAGCCTACCTAGAGAGCCCCAGTTAATGAGAGTCCCTGTCTCAAAGGAGGTGGACAGTATTCCTAAGAATGACATCCAAGGTTGTTTTCTGGCCTCCACATGCAAGCACAGATACCTGTACACATCTACACACACACACACACACACACACACACACACACACACACACACACACACACACACAGTATTATGTGACACTGGGCTTCACACAGGGTAACTGACACAGGCTAGGGAAAAAAGCACTCTACCACTGAGCTGAATTCCCAGTCTTCCCTTACATTATCCCAGTCTGTTACACATAGATTATATTCTACTTCCACAGAGATTTTCCTTGGATGAGAATTTTACTTATATGACATAATGTTAAATGAAAAAGTGTGGGAGCCCGTTCTTGGGTTCCTCGTGGCTTTACCCAGCAGGTCCAAATAGAAGATGATTAGGACCATGGGCCTGAGTGCAGGTGTCCGAGATGGTCTGCACTTGGCTGTGCTGGGGGAGGAGGTCATTTGCTCCACCCCTTGGCGTCTCTATAAAAACCCTGGGGCAGAGACAGTCGGGCGGGTTGGAAAAGGTTCCAGGCCCTCTCCAGGCTATCCTTTATTTTCTATCTGTTTATCTCCGCAAGATTCTCCGCAATAAATCCTTCTATCTAATATTTCCTGCTGCTCGCACTCAAGAAAACTCTGGGGAACTGTGGGGATGGTTGGGTAATCGCCCCACAAAAAAGCAAGCTACAAAACTGTATACAAACAGCTGATGTGGAAGTGCAAGCCTGTAAGCTCAGCATTTGGGAGGCAGGAGCATGAGTCTGAGGCTAGCCTGCACAAAACCTTCCTTATAAAACAAAACTGTATACAAAGTCAAACATGGTACCATATGCCTCACAGTTCTTAGAAGGTAGAAGAATTACAATTTTTTTTTCAAGATTATCCTCAACTACAAGGCAAGTTTGAGGCTAGATGCTCCCTACATGAGACTCTGTCTCAAGATAAAACCCCAAAGAACCCTGTATACAAAGCTGAACATATTCTATGACCACAGAGGTGAAAACCATGTAAGAAAAAAATGCCAAAAATATTATCTGTGGGTGGTCTCTGAAAAGAATTATGATCAAAATTCTTAAGCTTAAAAAAATTTGGGGTGGGGGAGGCTAGAGAAATGGCTCAGCTATTTAAAAACACTGATTGCTCTTTCAGAAGACCTGGGTTCAAGTCCCAGCACACACATATTGGCTCAGGAATCCAGTGCTTTTTTTTTTTTTTTAATGGCCTCTGAAGGCACTGCACACATGTGGGGCACAGACATACATTTAGGCAAATACTCATACACATAAAAATAAAATCTCAAAAAAAATTTTGAAATAGGGTCTCACTGGCTGGCCTTGAACTCACAGAACTCCACCCACCTCTGCCCCCCAAGTGCTAGAATGAAAGAAGAGCCCCACCACAGCCAGTTACAATGGTTTTAATTACATTTTACTTGTTTTCTGTATGTGTATGGGAGTCCATGACAAGGATGCAGGGGAGTCAGAGGACAACTTTTAGGAGTCAGTCCTTTCCTTTCACCATCTGGATGCTGGGGACTGAAGTCAGGTCATCAGGCCTGGAGACAGAGGCCTTTCCCAGCTGAGTCATCACCACAGCACAGGGCTGTTGCTTTTCCCCACTCACTCATACTTTCTGCTTTGTCCACAGTAAATACTATATTTAAATTCTCTTATTACATTTATTCAAGTTTGTGTGTGTGTATGTTTATACCTGCCACAAGTGACCTGTATAGGACAGCATTTTCTCCTTCCATCATATGGGACCTGAGGATTGAATACAGGTCATCAGGCTTGGCAGTAGGCACCTTTACCCATTGATCCATCTCGACAACCCACATATTAATATTCAGAAAAATAGGGAATTCGTTCAAACTACTTTACCTTCATATTTCAACAGAGGGCAAAAAGGAAAGCAAGCAGACTAAGACACATGAAATTGTGAATGAATCTTAGTATACTTCTCTTAGAAATTTTAAGGTTTTTCTTGTTGAGACAGGTCTTACTATATAACTCTGGCTGTCCTGGAACTCACTACACAGACCAGACTAAATCTCTCACAGAGATCTGTTTGCCTAGGATTAAAAGAATGAGCTACTATATCTGGTGACATTTTAGCACTTTAAACACACACACACACACACACACACACACACACTCCCCCCACCCTCTATTGGGAATTAAACCTAGGGCCTCACACACCTAGAAAGTGCTCTACCACTGTAACACATCCCTATCCTTTTTTTTAAAAAAAAAAAAAAAAAACATTTTATGTCACTCCTTTGAGACAGAGTCACTTTATAATCTGTATTGTCCTAGAGCTCTTGGTGATTCTCTTGATTCTGTCTCCCAAGTGCTGGAATTAGATTTAGACCACCATGCACACAGTTGTTTTATCTTTTTTTCTGAGACAGAGTCTGTCTAAGTTGCACAGACTGACCTTGAACTAACTCTGTCGCCCAGACAGACCTTAAACTTGAGATCCTCCTGGCTCCACCTCCTAAGTAGCTGGGATCACAGGTTTGTGCTACCAGGGTCAGCTCATTTTCAATTTTTATTTAGTTTTCATTTTTTAAAAAACATTTTATTTTATATGTGGTTGCTTTACCTGTATGTATGTCTGTGCACCATGAACATGCAGTGTCCTTAGAGACCACAAGAGGGAGTGAGATCCCCTGGAATTGGAGTTACAGATGGTTGTTAGTCAGTGTGTGGGTGCTGGGAATTGAACTCAGGTCCTCCGGAAAAGCAGCTAGTGCTCCAGCCCCTTAATGGTTTATTTTTAATACCTTCAGATGCTCAAAAAGAAAAGACTCTCCCACCCCTGGAACTCAATCTCCCTGTTCTCTGACCTGGAGACAAATGGCACTAGATCACATCTTTAGGATAAACCCTAGAAGTAGAACTAGAGTCAAAGAATGTATGTATTTGTCATTTTAACAAACACCCTCCAGAAATAATGTACTATTCTGTATGCCTGATAAATATGCAAAAATGCCTTTTTCTCCAAATCCTTGAAAAGGTTATGACTTTGGTTTTCAAAAGAGAATGCATACTTTCAAATGAAAAGAAGAGTACCTTTTTAGTTTAGAAAGATTTAAAGTGAAATTCACTGTTTCCTTCAGTAATTAGTTATCAGGACCCATATTGTTCCATGTACTACAGAAGATGCAAGAAATACGTTGATTTTGCAGGCACAAGTCAAATTTGAGAGGAGAATCCAGGGACAGCTCTGCCTTTTCATATTTTCTTCCAATGCTCTCAATTCAAATGCTGTTTCCCTTGGTGATGCTTTATTTTATTAAAATAAAAAATAAACCGGGCAGTGGTGATGCACACCTTTAATTCCAGCTCCCAACTCGGGAGGCAGAGGCAAGTGGATCTCTGTGAGTTTGAGGCCTGCCTGGTCTACAGACTGAGTTCCAGGACAGGCAAAGCTACACAGAGAAACCCTGTCTGGAAAAACAAAACAGAACCAAAGTTTTAAAAAAGGGACTGGAGAGATGACTCAGTGGCTAAGAGCACTGGCTGCTCTTCCAGAGGACCTGTGTCTAGCTACCAGTACCCACACAGCAGCTCACAACCATCTGTAACTCCAGTTCCAGGAGATCTGATACCCTCTTCCTGCCTCCTCTAGCCCCAGTGCACATGAGCATGCACATACATACCCCTGCATGCACAAAACACCTGTTGCTGGCCAGTGTCTTGTCAACTTGACACAAGCTAGAGTCATTTAAGAGGAAACCTTTGCCAGGCAGTGGAGGCACATGCCTTTAATCCCAGCACTCAGGAGGCAGAGGCAGGCCCATCTCTGAGAGGCTACCCTGGTCTACAGAGTTCCAGGTCAGGGCAACGCAGAGAAACTCTGTCTTAAA